CATTTTCTCAAATCAATGATACATTATTTTACCCACACAAATAGTTATTCAAAATGAACCAGCTAATGAAATCGGTTCCATTACATTTATTACTGAAACCTATTTTTCTTACTGTGACACTTGTTATAACCTGAACTGATAATATGGTGCTCGTCATGTGCATTTGTGTGTATTTCAGAACTGGGAAATGTGGAAGAAGCTCAAATCAGGTCACTAAAATAGTGTTGTCCATGTTTAAATATAAAAGAAACACTCTAGAGAGGTGGCTACTGTTTTTCCTGTCGCCCTCCTGTTGTAGCTTTTGGTTCCCTATGAGAAAAACTGGTGGGTTGACCTAGATTCATAAAAGTTCGTCCTATCCTCTCTGATCCTGAAGGGGGCACTGTTGAAGCATAGTCGTTAATTCTAAGAGCACCCTCCGCTCTGTGCTGCATGGGAGACCGCCTTAGAATACCAATGAATTTTTTTCTGTATCATCTCAGTCTCTTTTTATCTCCCGTCCCCTCTCACTCCATCTTCATCCTAATTTTTCGCTCATTTTCTTATCGCTCTCTTTGCCTCCACATTCACCTGTTTTTGTCCTTCGCTGCTCTTATTTTCCCTCTCTCTCTTTCTCTCTATCTGTGTCTTTTGTGTCTTTTCCTCGCTCGCTGCCTTTGTCGCTGTTTGAGTTTGGGGCTGTCAGCAGCGGCGGCTCTGAGCTGTGCAGTCATTTGTTACACCATGGAGGGGAAGAAACATCTTTCATTGAAGCTGCCTCCCTCGCTCTCTTTTTGTGTCTCACTGGCTCAGGCCATTTGTTTTTTTTCTTGCCCTCTTCACAACTGTCGTTCCTGCTCTTCTCAACCTCTCCTCTGTTTGTCCTAAAATCCCCATTCCTTAATTTTTCCCGGAAGGCTTAGTTTGACAGTTATTATCCTATATGAGGTGGCATCTTTTTAACAGCACTGCATTTATTTAGCCCAGCTTCAGTCGAGCGCTTGTAGCTGCATGATAGGCTGCTACTACCTGACCTTGACTGACTGTCTTATTATGAAGCAACACATTCAGGTCTGATGAGCTGCTGTTTATCATACATGAAATTCAGCTCAATAAACATAATTCACTCTGCAGGGGTTATTTGGGTAACCTACTTTAAAAAATGACCAGGGTGCAAAAATCAATTCACATCATATCGATCATCAGTATCTTTGCTCCCACTCCACTATGCACAGTGTGAGGTTTGGAAATTGCACCAAAAAGAAAAAGGGAGAAAAATAGAAACAGCTCCT